AAATTCAGTCTATATTATTCAAGTTATAAATAACCTGCATATTACAATACTTACCACGGTTTGTACACAATACGGTGGTCTCGTCCAGTTGCTAGGGACAGGGACGTGACGTAACATAATGAAAAATCCATGTGACAGAAAATATTCTGTTGCACTTCATACATTAGTTTTTTAAAAATCCAATACCTTATTTTTTGTTGTCATCGGCATCAACTGCTACGGTTATTAGCCTCGTGTTCTGTGTAGGCTTTGTTACTGTTTCCGAGCGCCACTTTAGGAATAGCACTGTTAATTAGTACCCAACAGTGAATGGTTGAGTGGGGAATCCTACCAAGGCATCAGAATTAATTTTAATAATATTAATAATAATAATTGTCATTTATTGAACTGAAAGTTCAGTCCAATAGGTTATCGACCAAAGTCCTTCTGCCTATTATTAATATTAAGTGTTTTTATAATATCGGTAGTATAATTTTTTGAAAGATAAGCTACAAAACAGCAATGAAAAATCATGTAATGATTTCCATAAAATTTCAAATGAATTACTTTTTATTTGAATTATAAAGAGAAATATTATTGTGTGAATGGTTTATTTTAAACATTTTGGGTTAGGGTATGGCATCCGAGACGAACTCGGACCACATTTTGTTCATACCCTGAAATCGGATTAAAATTAATGTACAAACTAAAGTAGAATATTTTGTCAACTCACTTTTTCATTCGGAGATGTCACTCCATCCTTAGCAACGAGGATGAGGTCACTGTACTGTCTATGAACCGTGAATACTTACTACTTGCAGCACACAATCTAAGGAGTATTTTGCAATGGTCTATTATGTACCCTCGTCCTATGCCTAATTAAAAAAGATTCCTTAGCAAAAGTTTTGTGGCAACCTTCACAATTAAAACCTGTAGAATTATGTGATTGTATGTGACCCATGTATGAACTTTTGTTATGAAATGTCATTTGACAAACATTACAAGGTATGCCATTTGATGCAGCATGGCTCCATCTGTGAGCTACTAGGTAAGATTTTACTGAGAATCTCTTAAAACACACTTCACATGCGAAAGGACGTAGACCTGTGTGACTTCTCTTATGGGTGTTGAGGCTGGATTTTTGTGTGAATCTCTTTTGACATATGTCACATTCAAATGGTTTTTCGCCAGTATGTGTGCGTAGATGTACCTTAAATAATAAACAAAATATAGAAATAACTGCACAGTTATAACTTTTTTTATTATATTTTTTAAAGCTCTTAATAAAATTATAACCTCAAATGGCAAAAGTAAAAATTTTGAAGACAGTTGAATCAGAGCATTAGGTAAGTACTGGTATTAATATTAAAAATGTAATGACTTTATTGCCATAAGAACTGAATACTGAAAAACAGTATTTATGGTTATCTTTCAGTTCCAGTTAATATTTAATCACATATTTTTATTACTAAAATACCTCTAAGTATGGTTTTCTACAAAATGCAGCCTCACAATGTGTACAATGATATGGTTTATTATTTGAATGTTTTTTCATATGAACATAGTAGCTTGAAGCAGAAGATAAAATTTTTCCACAAATATTACATTTTTGTTGCTTTCCCTTTTTTGATTCACTCACTTCAGGCACAGAATTTTGAATCTAAAATTCAAAAACAATATGTATCAGTAATAAAAAGTAGGTATGTCTCGTATTTCAAAAATGGGTTCAACATTAATTAAATTAGTTATCAAACTTAAAAAGATGCAATGTTAAGGTTGTGGTAATTTATTCAAAATTGATTTTTAAAAGATGTAAATTTCGATCCACGTATCTAAAATTAAAGTAGTATAATGTTACGATAGACTAACATTTGATCGTGGCCTCCTGGAACTAATTTGTTCTTCCTGATAAATATCATCAGACGGAATAGGTATTTTTATTGGAATAAATGGATATCGGTCATCTTCTGACTTTACCTCACTAAAAATACTGTGTTGACAAAACATATTTGGTCTGTACATATAATTTTATAAAATTTATTTCTATTATTAAACAATCCTATTTTTTCCAAAATTTAAAATTTGTTGTGACAGATGACATAAGTTATATTTATCTACTTCTTTTTCCATTAGTGCCAAAGTCCATTAGGCATTCCAACAAGGCCCGTATTTATAAACAGAACTTACGTGAGTCGGACTCATAGATAAATTAATTATTAATTTATCTATGGGGGTCGATTCTCGACTCGTAGGAATTTTTTCCTATAGGAATTTTTGACATTTTTCTACACATCGGAAATTTATGACATTTGTCTACATGTAGGAAAGTGTCACAAATTCCTATAGGAAAAGGTTCCTACAAGTCGAGAATTGACCCCCTGGGGGTCGATTCTCGACTCGTAGGAATTTTTTCCTATAGGAATTTTTGACATTTTTCTACACATCGGAAATTTATGACATTTGTCTACATGTAGGAAAGTGTCACAAATTCCTATAGGAAAAGGTTCCTACAAGTCGAGAATTGACCCCCTGGTCGGACTTGGGTATGTCGTCCTTGAACTAAAATCAAAGTTCGGTTACAATGTCTCTAAAGTTCTAGGTGGTTCTGGTGTTAAACTGGAATTTAGAGATGGATATTAGCAAATCTGTAACTGTTATGTACATTTACGGATTTGTTACTACCCATCTCTAAATTCACGCGATATAACCGAACTTCGATTTTCGTTCAAGGACGACTTACCCAAGTCCGACTCAGCTGAGTTTTGTTTATAGGTTCTTTCGTTCGTCCCACTGGTGTAGTTGGGTGTAGTAATGAACTACACTAACCCACACCCATACCTTTCGTTTGGTCCGGTGTAAAACCCACTATACCTTCCTGTCGGCGATGTGGTGTACACTGGTGGATATTTTCTCCACCAGCTATTTAGCAGGAGTGAATTACACTCGATGATGTGTATAAATGCTGCGTTTGAGAATCCACATCGGATGCATCTGAGATGTAAAAAATCTTTGATCACGTGGTTCAGTATACGTAAATGTAATGGGACAGATGTGTCCGATGTGGATAAAAAAACGCTCGAGATGTAAAAAATGCATCCGATGTGGATTCTCAAACGCAGCAAAAGAATAAGGAGGAAGTAAATTAGGGTAAATAAGGTGGTGTAACTGGTGTAAAATACACTGGTGGAGACTACACCAATAGCGAACGAAAGAACCTTATAAATACGGACGGGCCTCAGCTGAGTCGGACTTGGGTAAGTCGTCCTTGAACTAAAATCGAAGTTCGGTTATATCGCGTGAATTTAGAGATGGGTAGTAACAAATTCGTAAATGAACATAACAGTTACAGAATTGCTAATAGCCATCTCTAAATTCCAGTGTAACACCGAAACCCCCTCGAACTATAGAGACGTTGTAACCGAACTTCGATTTTAGTTCAAGGACGACTTACCCAAGTCCGACTCACGTAAGTTCTGTTTATAAATACGGGCCCGGGGCCCGTATTTATAAACAAAACTCAGCTGAGTCGCACTTGGGTAAGTCCAATGAACTGGAGTGGGGTAGAATGCTTGTCAATCACATACTTTGATTACTATACGAGGCAAGAGAGAGGTCCGACACGCCCAACTTAGAGCGTGGCCATTTTGAACCCTGTGACACAGTTTACAGCTGAAGAATCAGATCGCTCACTCTGCGTCGGCACTTTGGATCTCAATGTTTCAGTTTATACACTATGCAACTCGGATAATACAATATATGACAGCGTATAATACAACAGCAGTCTTCTGCGTATCCTGAATTTGTATCCCTGGAGTGGAATGTTATTTTGGAACTTTTAACTGGTCCGAGTGAGCTAACTGATTCTTTAGCAATAAACTGTGACTTCAAAAATAATATTCACTGACACTGACAGCAGCAAGTAAAATATCAGATGCGTTTTAATCATCCACTCTGCTTCCGGAATTGTCGGTTTAGTCGTTTTAACTTGTCAAATTAAAACAAGAAAACCGACAATTCCGAAGCAGAAGCGGATGATTAAAACGTACCTATTAAAAATATTGCGCCAAGATGTAGGCAACACGTAATAAGGGTTCAAAATGGCGGAGTTTTCTACCTCCTTTTAAAAGGCACTCAGAAAGCTGCGCAGTGCGACCATTCTCCGTATAGTAAAAGAAAATCAAAAATCAAAGTATGTGGTTCTACCCCACTCAAGTTCATTGGTTATCGGCCACCATTATAGAGAAAGTAAAAGTTGAAAAGTCTTTTGGTAGGTAGAGAGGGGGTAAACGTCAAACCACGTCGGGCGGCTCCGAGAATTTCGCAGTAATGTTTACCTGCCAGTGTCGTTTCATAGAATAAGTAATTTTAAATTGTTATCGGCGGAACCGGACAATCACATGTATTTATGGATTATAAATAATTATTGAACATGTATTATAATATTCAAATCATAATTTTACAAAATTTCAACAGCTATTCACAATTTATTAAACTATTTACTCGAAATTGTTATTAACATCTATAAAATAATTTTGTACGTCAATGTATCGCATCCACTTCGGTGAAATCCGCTGCCAACCTGTCAATTTATGTGTATAAAGTGGGAGAACTGGCAAAAGCATTTCCAACTTTTACTTCTGTTCTAACAAATCCGTAAATGTACAAAACAGTTACAGATTTGCTAATATCCAAGTCCGACTCAGGTAAGTTCGGTTTATAAGGTCCGTATTTATAAACACAACTCAGTTGAGCACAAAAGCTGAGTCGAACTTGGGTAAGTCGTCCTTGAACTAAAATCGAAGTTCGGTTATATCGCGTGAATTTAGAGATGGGTGGTATCTAATCCGTAAATGTACATAACAGTTACAGATTTGCTAATAGCCATCTCTAAATTCCAGTGTAACACTGGAACCACCTCGAACTATAGAGACGTTGTAACCGAACTTCGATTTTAGTTCAAGGACGACTTACTCAAGTCCGACTCAGCTGAGTATTATTAAGAAAAAGAAGAGAACAACCTCCTGTGCTGTGAAACACAAAGGAAGGAGTCTGTGGACCAAAGAACAAACAGAAGAAGAAAAAGAAACTAAAAAATAATAACAATAACAAATAAATACACTCCAAAATAAACAGGATATTTTAAAAATGTTAAAATTTTGTAGTTTGTTAGTTAATCATTCGTTAAGATCGTTCCATACTTTAACTTCTGAAACTATATTTGCATTGTCTTCAGGTTAGTACAATTTTCATGGGGTGCTTTATAAAATAAATTTCCTACCTAGTATATTTTATTTTCTCCAGCTTGCAATGTATAATATATTTCACTTAATTAATTATAATTTAAAAATAGGGATATATTTTACACGATTTATTCGAATGCTCATAATAATTTTATAGGTCATGGTAAATGTGGTGTAGCAGTTATTCGAGTGTCTGGATCAAATTCTGGAATTGCTTTAAAATCAATGACAGGTTTAGAAACCCTCCCAAAGCCAAGAATGGCTATTTTGAAAACTATAAAAAATCCCGCTAATGGTGAAATAATTGATAAGGGTCTGATATTGTGGTTTCCAAGTAAGCTTGTTTTAGGGCATTTTAAACAAATTTTATTAAGCACTTTATAACAAAATTAAGGTCCCAGAAGTTTTACTGGGGAGGACAGTTTTGAACTACAAGTACATGGTGGAATAGCGATAATTAATGGCATTTTAAAAACTTTGGCAGCCATACCCCATTGTAGGCTAGCTGAACCTGGAGAATTTACACGAAGGGCATTTTTTAACTCAAAATTAGATCTTACAGAAGTTGAAGGCCTTGCTGATTTGTTACAAGCAGAGACAGAAGTACAAAGGAAACAGGTAAATAATTTTAAAAAAAGGGTTACATATTTGTATCTGTAAGATAGGGGTGCTGCCCACAGCACGTAGGCCTTACTAGGTCAATTGTTAATCCTCCAGAAGTATAGGACCTGCCTCAGCTCGTTAAAAAGCCTGCTGGTTGACATGTCCTCAAGAGGTATCTAGGGACAGCCAGTCTCAACTCTTCAAAAGTCCTGCAAGCTAATAACTTCGCCTAGCCGAGAGGTGCCTGAAAATGCCATTTTTAGTAGTGGCCATATGGTTGTTTTAAATTAAACATCATATTTGGGTAAATGATTATCCAGTTACATTATGGACAATTATTAATCATACAATCTGTAGATAAAAAGTAATTTGTTTAATTTCTAAAAAACAAAATATTGAATGGCCTCTTATTATCACTGTTTTCAAGGTTCAATGGGTTATGTTATATATAACATAATAGGTGAATATGGAGCTACCACAAATTTATGGGCTCAAAATAAGTTGATTTAATCAAACTTACCTATAATTATACGCAGCTAGAGGTCAATAAAGTTCTTTAAAAATATCTGTTTTTTTTATCTTTGGAATTCAGCCATTTTAAAAGATCAAACTTGGTACGAATACGAGATGTTTTTTGGTGAATTAAAAACAACAAGAACAATGTTTCTATTTTGATCATAAATGTCTTATTAGGGGGGAGGGCAACTTACATTTTCCCTATATTTTTTTGGCATTAAAATAGAAAATCATGGAGTTTTTACTGAAAAAAGTTACTCTTGTTCAATGTCGCCATGATGTACCATTTTCAAAACAAAAAAAAATGGATTTGAACTGTTCAGAATGCACATTACCTAATTTGACCCATTAATTGTTTGTGAACCAATTTAAAAACAATAGTACTGGAGTTACTTTGATACCGGCAGCGTTCTTTATGCCACATATACAAATTATTATTATTTCATTGATACCATTTTTCATAGAACTAAGTAGGGATGTTAAGCATGGTGGTATGAAAAGTTCAAATCCATTTTTTTTTTTTTTTTTTTCAAAAAGTGTAGGTACATCATAGCGGTTGACAACATTAAACAAGAGTAACTTTTTTGATTAGAAACTCCATAGTTTTCTATTTTAATGCCAGAATGTCAAAAGTGATAAAAAAAATTAGGTAAAATGTCTGTTGCCTTTCCCCTAATGAGAAAAATTGTTTCTGCTGCTTTTAATTGGCCATAAAACAATTAGTATACATGCTAAGTGTGATCTTTTAAAATGGCTGAATTCTGGAAATTATAAAAAAAACAGATACTTTGTTGATCTCTAGCGGTCAAACGAAGCAAGTTGGTATATAGGTAAGTTTGTATATCTTATAATCATAGGGGACACACTGAGAATGCAGTATGGTAAATTTCTACTGGGAGACCAACACACTGTGTTTCCGATAGCTGTGACAGGGTTGGCCCAGTAGTAGTCAATGTTATTAGAGCAAGTATTCTTGGTTGCATATATTGTACCTATCAACATTTATTACTTTGTATTCATCATAATATTCTTAAAATATCGTAAGCTTATGTCACTTACATTTTACTCTATAGCCAAAGTTCTAAAACCTTTTAAACATAAACTGAAAAAAAAACAGTTTTTTGTGTTTCCTGTAAAATTACTTAAATGGTGCATAAGATACTTTGCCTGGATAGGGACGATATGTGGACTGTTTGTCCTTCTTGATGTCTAAGCGAATGGCTTTCTGCAGAAAGGAAGCAACCCACAAATTTGTGATTTTTAGACTTTGCATAATATTGCATTAAGAACAGTAACCTTTACTACAAAAAATATCCAGGCCACATTCTGGTACCTAGCGTTATTTGTTAGCCAATGAACCAACTGACTAATTTGGTTAAGCAGGAAACCTGCCTGCAGTAGTAATCCATAATAGAGAAGAGAGTTTGGTTCTCTGTAGGGTCCTGGCACTACTTATGGCCACTACCCTACTTCAAGACAAACTAGGGATTTATTAAGGATATTTTTAAATATGAAATGTCCAAAGGTAAGTAGATATTAATACCCAATGTATTTTGTTTTCAATATCATTTTTTTTCTTAATTAGAAATAAATATCAAGGTGGTCATTAGTAATGGCTAAAAATTAAAAATTCGTGAGTTATGGCCACACTGGTGGCCAAAAGTAAAACCTCATATTTTACTTAGGGCCACCGCAGTTATTGTATGGGTTGAGAGGTAGATAGTAATTGAGTTATTTTGTATTCTTTCATAACTTGATGTTAATATGCTGGAGCAGTTTGCACTAACAAAAAAGAGGTCATGATTGGGAAGGTGCTGAAACAGCATCTGAGTTGCATAAAATTTCGCTATGAATTACAAATTACATTCCTCATACTCAAAACACTACTAACAAAGATGACAAATATGCAGGACGAGTCTGAGGCGGAATTACATAATGATTCAGAAATTGGTCCTACACTATCCTTGAATTCAAGTTCTTTTTGAGGATCTCCTGTACCTTACACAGTTAAAGATGTTCAATCACCCTAACCTGTTCAAGGCTCATCTACATCAACTCCCAGGAACAACAAATTAATATTTAAAAATGCAACTTAAAATTTAGTGGCCATAAGTAAAGAACTAGTGGTGGACTGATGTCCAAAAGTAAAGAATTTCTTCCAATTTGTTTAAAAATTGCAAAAAAAGAATCACTTTGCTATTAAAGCCGGTGCAAGATTATTTAAAATTTTGTTAATTAAAACATCGTTCGTAGAAAAATACTGTCATTAAGACAACGAGCGTGTAACGACTAGTTTTTAAATTTGTTCTGATCTCTATTTTGAAATTTTGTAGTTGATAATTTGATTATCATTAAACTGGAATAGTACAATAAATATATATGCTTTATTTAGTCAAAAAACAACTAATACATAGTCAATAATACACTTTCTCACTAAAAATAAATGTATACGTATAATAGGTTATTAATATAACTGTAGTCGTATAAAATAAAATACAATTAAACAACACATATAAAATATTAATAATGAATACTTCAATAACTAAATTAGCTACTTACATCTAACAAATATTGTTTTATTTTACATTTGAATTCATTAATTGATTCTATTTTCTTTAAATCTTCTGGCAAGTCATTAAATTGCTGTAAGCCTTTAAAAAATATTGAATTTTGAGCATGACTGGTGTTGACGGTCCTAATATAAAAATCATTTCTAAGTCTTGTATTATGGGTGTGAATATGATGGTTATACGTAATTTTATGCTGGAGATAGTCAGGCCCGTAACCTATTTTTATTTTATATATAAAAATTAATGTCTGGTAAAGGAACATGTCTTTAATTGAGAGCCAGTTTAAAGATATCCGCATTTCTACAATAGGGGTCAATCTAGAACATGACAATAATATTCGCATAGCTCTATTCTGCAATTTTTGGAACCGATCATTTTGATTTAAGAGATATAATACTGTTGAGCAGTAAGTGAAGTGAGGTAGTATAAGAGAATTAAATAGAACAAGCCTTGACCACTTAGATAAATGCTGTGAACATCTGTAAAGATAATTTATTTTAAATGAAATTGTTTTTATTAAATGGTTTGCGTGCTGTTTAAATTTAAGTTGTCGATCTATAATAACTCCGAGATATTTGTATTCATTTACCATATCAATTTCGGAAGGCCCAATCATTATTTTATGATCTTGTTCTACAAAGAAGTTATATTGCTGCTCATTGCCAATTATGATGAATTTGGTTTTTTTACAATTAATATTTAATAGATTAGCACAACACCATCTATAAACAACTTCTAAGCACTTATTAATCATTGTAACAATATCTATTATATTTAGAGAATAATAAATGAACGCGTCATCTGCAAATAAGTGAAATAAACATTTAGTCTGAATGTCTGCAATGTCATTGATATAAATCAAAAAAAAACAAGGGACCTAGGACACTTCCTTGTGGTACACCTCGTTTTATTTCTAACTCCTCAGATACAAAGTTTTTAATTTTGACCTTTTGCCTTCTATTTGTTAAATAGTTTGAAATCCACTCCAATACTGTACCACTAAACTCTGCTCTTTCTAATTTCTTTAAGAGTCTATTCCTATCTACCGTTTCAAACGCCCTTTGAAGATCCAAAAAAACACCAACAGTAACATGTTTTTGATTAAGATTTCCTTTCAAATCATCCAGCACACATTGTACCGCAGTTTCGCATGAATGCTTACTGCGAAAACCCGATTGAAATTTGGTTAAAAATTTGTTTCTTTCTATGAAATCAACAATTTGTTCATAGACTACTTTTTCTAAAATTTTTTCAAAGCAGCTAAGCATATTTATTGGTCTGAAATCAGAAGCTTTATTAGATTTTGCAACTTTAGGAATTGGTACAATGGTGGAGACCTTGATATCATCTGGGACTTTACCAGATTCTAAAGAAGTATTGATAACATTTATCAAGGGTTTAGCAATATTGTCATAGGTATTTTTTATAAATGCCATACAGATGCACAGTAATCAAAATGAAACTGTTTTATCATGTTATGTACAGTTAATTTGATTTCAGTTAACAGATTCGACTAAAATAAAATAACTTTATGCAAAATTTATTATTTAAATTTTTAAACTATGTACATATTTCAGTTGTTTCATTACTTATCTTCAGATATATAACATTTAAATTTATAAATCTATATTTGTGTTTGCTTCTACAGACCATAGCTTTTAGCAACATTAAATTTATTATTTTGATGACATAAGCTAATTTTATGTAAAGTTGAGTTCAAGTTCCTTACAGCTGTTTGAAAATCTTTATCAGCACATATTATGAGCATATCATAATATAAAATAAATAGAAGCGGTCCCAGGACTCCTGTTTCAACAGGGATCATGGAGGAACATATTATGTATCATGAAACCTTACTTACTGTTTACGATTGTTTAAATAATTATAAAACTACTTATGACCCGATCCCGCTTTGCTGGAATTTCTCAACTACAATTATTAAAAGTGAATAACAGTTTTAGTTACTCAAGAGATATTTTTTCATGCGATACCTGGCAATTTTTTTTATTTTTATTAGTTTTTAATTACTATTTATTTTTATTAGTTTTTAATTATTATTAATTTTCCGGTCACGTCGTGGATGGGTGACCGCTGGGAGGTTCCACCATGGGCCGTGTCACTATGGGACTCATCCGACTAGCGGTTAACCACCGACGACGTGGAATGAATGACGATGAATCAGGGAGTGAATTGTTGAATGAGAAAGTAGTAGGATCTTCAAACGGTGGTACAATAAGCCGCAGGCTGCAGTGCCGCCAGGCTATAGACGGATTAGGGTGTAGCACGGGAGATCCGAAGGGTGTAAAAACTAAAAAAAAAAATATTAATTTTTATTGATTATTATTAATTTTTATTAATTTATTATTAATTTTTATAAATTTTTATTATTATTAATTTTCGTTAATTTTTATTGATTTTTATTTTTAATTAACTTTTATTAGTATTTTTATTAATTTTTTATTACCCAGACAACACACCAAATCCCAGAGATATCCACAGAATATCTTTTGTGGATATCCAATATATCCACAGGATATCAGAAATATTCCGTGGATCTAATATGGATATCCAAATGTTCGCCTACATCCAGAATATAGAAGATATCCTATGGATTATCCAGCAAAATATCTAATGGGTATCTTCCAGACAATACGAGAAATCCCAGAGATATCCACAGAATATATTTTGTCGATATCCAATATGGATATCCAACCAAATGTCCGTCTATATCCCAGGATATAGAAGAATTTGGATATTCAGCAAAATATTTTATGGGTATCTTTAGTAGAGGTTCATAAAAGTAACCAATGTTTATTGAATAACGTCGAAAGAAAATAGCAAAATATTTTCAACACTCTGCCTTTGATTTTGCCCACTAAGGAGAAAGTCATCCTTAGGACTCTTCAGCAATAAATGGAAATTCTCGACTCCAGTCTCTAGTGGAGTCTGATTGGGAAACAAATTTCGATCGAACTCAATCACGGCGGGTTAAGCATGAGTAGATGTGAAAGTGGTATCGCCGTCTATACTTAGTAAGCAAAATCAAAAATTACATCTAGTGGATATCCACGATGGTTTGCGTTCGCGCCTAGACTTTGATTATTTAGTGGATGTCCATGGGATATTGAATACACCTTATAAAAAATAATTTTAAATATCTGAACGGTACTATTAGCCACAATGGCGAGCACAATGGTGTAATTTTTTAATAATTTGCTATATAATTACTATTATTTATGGACATTTGCATGTCTATAAATTACATCTCATGGATATAAAATAGATATCCACCATGGACTGGACATTCAGTGGATATATTGGGATGTTCAGTAGATATCCAAAGGATTTGGTGTGCTGTCTGGGTACCTTTCATTCATTTTTATACATTTTAATAATTTTTATTGTTTTTTATAATTTTCTAATAATTTTTGTTATCTTTTAATATATTTTAATTTCTATTAATCTAGCTATTTTAATTTTTATTTATTTTCATATTATTTATTTTTACGATACTCCGAATTTCCGCCCTCCTTAAAATGTGAAAATCTAAACTCATTATTTACTTATGATGAGTAGCTACAATTCTAATTTTCAAGTTCCTACTTTTAAAACTTTCACCTCATTCCAGACTATAATCTATATTTATGATAAATTTCATCTTGATCCGTTCAGCCGTTCTGGCGTGATTGAGTAACAAACATCTATCCATCCTTACATCCAAACTTTCGCATTTATATATTAGTAGGATTAAAACCAGTCCAACCAATACCATATTGCAAAAGCTCATTTAGTAGAAGTTCTCTACCGCTCTTTTAGGATCTAAAAACACACATATGGAATTTCTGTTTCACTTCTTATTTTAACTAGTGTTACTTGTATTGCTGTCAGTGGCGGCTGGTGGGGGAGGGCGCTGTCCATAACGAATCGCTGGACGGTTGCCATATGGTTACCGACGTTAACGTGTAGATCGCGGAGAAATTATGCATTTTGGATACATGCGTTGGCGGGCATAGCTCAGTCAGCCCTTGGCTCATCTGTTGATCTAGTGTGGTGTTGTTTATTTATCTTCGTAATAATTATTTATCATAATAATAATAATAATAATAATAATAATAATAATAATAATAATAATAATAATAATAATAATGATAATGATAATGATAATGATAATGATAATGATAATGATAATGATAATGATAATGATAATGATAATGATAATGATAATGATAATGATAATGATAATGATAATGATAATGATAATGATAATGATAATGATAATGATTATGATAATAATAATAATAAATAATTATAACATTATTTTGGTTTGTTATTACAAAATCAACTAAAGTCTCACTATTATTAGTAATATGTGTATGATTTTATAAGTTGTTTAACTACACAAGTTAAGAAAATTTGTTTGATCTTATTTGCTTAAAAAATCCAAATTAATATCACCGGCTAAAACACAATACTGTACAAGGTTATTAGTAATTTTTTATTACCAAATTGCCTCAAAATTCTAAGTGTTTTGCTTATGTATACAGTGCTTCTCAAAAGTCCCCTCCCCCCTCTTTTCTTTTGAACAGTGATACTTAGACTGATGAAATTTGGAGGGTGAAAATGAACTGTTGTAATCTTCTCTACTAGTGGTAACAGGTGACGTAATAGGCATCGATGACGTCACCAGGCAACTGAAGTCAATAATATTAAGTGGGATCTTATATCAAGTGACACCTTTACGATGTTTATGATGGTTAAAATAAGGTCCCATTTAATATTATTGGTTTCACTTGCCTGGTGACGTCACCGATGCCTGTTACGTCACCTGTTACCACTAGTAGAGAAGCTTACAATAGTTCATTTTCACCCTCCAAATTTCATCAATCTAAGTATCACCGTTTAAAAGAAAAGAGGGGGAGGGGACTTTTGAGAAACACTGTATATTTCTTCTGTAGTAAATTTAAAATATTTTTTTTTTGGAAACAATTTTTAAATCAAACATTTTCCATTAAAAATAAATACTTAAGATGCACAACTTTTTTAGGCATTTTTACAAAGCCAAGGAGCTTTAAGCAAAGTTTATAATAGATGGAAGACTGCTCTCATAAACAGTGTGGCTCATATAGAAGCCCACATTGATTTTGAAGAAACTGAAACTTTAGAAATAGGAATATTAGAATCCGTACAAAAAGAAATTAAAAAATTAGCTACAGAAATAGAAAAACATTTAGATGATGGACGAAAAGGAGAAATTTTGAGAAATGGTGTGAAGACAGTTATTTTAGGAGAACCTAATGTTGGAAAAAGTAGTCTACTTAATTTATTATGTAAGTTTTTATTGAAAATAATGTAGGTATTACTTTCTAATTTTCATGATACTGATATTTATAATCGATTGTCGTAACATAGAAAGATAATGTATGAATCTAAAATATATATATTCTCTTAAAAAATAGCTTCAACACTTTGGCTCACAACTGATTTTGTTTTTTAGGTCAACGTCCTGCAGCAATAGTAACTCCTATAGAAGGAACTACACGAGACATTCTAGAAGTTACCCTAAATATTGGCGGATACCCTCTAGTTTTAGCTGATACAGCAGGTCTAAGGGCCAAAGCTACGGATATTGTAGAAAAAGAGGGTATTAATAGAGCACTACAATTATATGAAAAATCAGATCTTATTATTCTTGTATTTAATCTGGAAAAGTACATAAAATGGAAGAATAAGTTTAGTAATAAAACTCAGACAGACTATATTGTAGAATATATAGAAAACTTAAAATTGTCGAATCTTGTAAACGTTAAAGTCGATGGCCATAAAGTAGATGTAGTTTTTAACAAACCTTGTATAATGGTGTTCAATAAATCTGATCTTTCTGATGATATAAATGTAGTAAATAGCGAAAATTGTGTCAGTGTTTCTTGTGTTACAGAAGATGGAATTAGCAATCTTATAGAAAACATTTCAAATCACTTAAAAGAACTGTAAGTTTTAGTTTTATATTTTTGTGTAATTATCTATTGTCTAAAATGAGGGTTTCCCATAAATTTATAAAAAATCATTTATTTGTGAGGAAAATGTTGGTAGAAGAATTTTTATCAACTTTAAATATATTCGCTCAGATGTTTGACATTTTTTTGTGGATTAATTTGGGTAAATGCGGTTTGTTGATTGACTTTGTGGGCCTTCTCAGTACCCTTTTTTCTTTTCCTTTACCATACCAGTTTCACCATATTGTCAAACATCTTGCCTTTTAATTAACATGACCATTTCTGATTTTATTACTTGATTATACCCTTGTATGAAAAACTATAGTGAGATAATCGCAATCTAAAAGTTATTTGAGGCAATCGTGTCTGACAAAAGCAATCGTGTCTGACAAAGGCAATCGTGTCTGACAAAGTCAATCGTGTCTGACAAAGGCAATCGTGTCTGACAAAGGCAATCGTGTCTGACAAAGGCAATCCTGTCTGACAAAGGCAATCGTGTCTGACAAAGGCAATCGTGCCTGACATCCATTGATACAATAATTCAAGTAACAATTTTACTTGCTGGTTAGTTACGCCATCTGCCTACTTGATCAAAAACACCTGTGCATAATGCTGCCGGCTTGGACAAATAGACTGAAAAAAATTGTGAAGATGACTTGGAAAGTTAATTTTTTTATTCAATGGCAATAAAATTATATTATTTAACGTACAACAGTATTTCACAATTTTTACAATATTCAATTGTGAGATTTGTTTTACGAATGATTGTATTAAAAAATTATGCTATACAGGAGCGTTGCCATCAACAAAGTGAAATATTTCAATTATATTTTTTTTATTAAAAAAGTAAATATAAATAAATAATTATTTATAAAACTATAAAAAAGTGAATAAAAACAAACTGCTAATAGCGATCATCCAGTACGATGGTGGTAACGACGACGCGAAGGTCCCCCATGGATACTAAAAGTTCAAGATATATTTATGAAATTCAAAATTATTTAGGTATGTACTGGTTGAGACTCGAAACGATCTTTGAAAATAAATATTTACAAAACTAACTGTAGTTAGAACAGAACCGATTGTGTTGTTACTAGGTGGCTTTGTTTGGTCCGTCTTTCATGATCGCTTTCGTTGAATTATATATTTATATTTTAGTTATTGCCAACTTTGAGATATATTACGTTCTTTCTCTTTTTAATTTCAAACGATCTTATAAGTAGAGAGAGATGAGGGATATGAATTATTCAAGATTTGATATTTCAAATTCAAGCAATGTACTGAGTTTTTACTTTTGAAATAACTGAATATTCGAGGAGGACAAACTAACGTCAAAAATTACATAATATTTTATGAACACCTATGCGTTGGATATGTTCTATTTTTAGATGTGTTATGTAATTCAGTGGTTAGATGAAAAATCCAGATTTGTTGGAAAAGGTAAAAATAAGTAAGCAATATTAATATGTGATTTTATCCACTTCCAAATACTGAAAATATCGAAGGTTAATGGACAAAACATCGTAAGCGACAAAAAGAAAATTTTACAGGAAATTATTTTTTTGTGAGAGAATTTTTAAGTTTTATTTTTGAAAACTTGTATGTAAAATAGATCCAAACTCACACTTTTATTAAATTTTGTAACATATGATATTTTATCAGAACATTTTATCGGGACGACAAATTAGTTCGCATGAAAAGTACTATTGTCTTTCAGTTACTATTTTTTAGGAAAATTATCCGAAAATGAAATATACATCATCAAAATTAATAAACTTTTATATTTTCTTGGAAATTGTTGCTATAAAGTTATAACTAATTATGCTTGTTTATGCAATTAGTTAAGAGCAGACCAACAGCTTTAAAATTTCTTATTTTTGTTGAGACTTTATTTTTAGTCCGATTTTTGTAAAAATTTCAGGAAATACCAATAATAACAAAACTTCCGCGCTATTTTATATTAAATCTATGGAAATTTACTGCTTTTTCTTTTAATAAATATCTAGTAGTTTTTAAATGGGAAGGTTTCCCAAGTTTTTTCTTAAATGTCTCTCTAGAGTGCTGCCTTATCGTTCCACCAATTTAAGGCTCGATATTCTCAAGACACATAACATTTCGAAGTATTCCCAGTGCCGCGTATATAAATACAATTTAATATTAGAAAATCCTCACATTTTTTCTTTTCGCGAGAAGCTCTGTTTGCTCTTAAGGAATAGTACACCGCCATAAAATAGAACAATTTTTTTAGTACTTTTCGGACTAATTTTTATTTTAATTTTTTATGTAGTTTGGCCTCTAAAAGTTAGCAACAATACCCGTATCACACATGAATAAATTGAAGTCATCAGTTGGCTAAAAGTAACACTAGTATATAAATTTAATAAGAGTAGTAACTAGGTTTGCCATCCGTCCTTCCTCAGGACAGTCCTTCATTAAAGGTTAAAGTCCTTCTGTTATTTTCTAAAAATTGTTCTTTTCAAAATAAATTTTTTCTGTATCTGGAACAAAGTGGAGGGATGAAACGAACAGATGTTCTTTGGAACTGATTCGAGCCGATCTTTTGATAAATGTTAATTTTATAGATAATAAAAAACTTTTAAATTTTAGATGTAGCTTAATCAAACAAAAAATTTACTCATAAAAAATAAAAAAGAATAATTTGTTTTTTTTTTGTTTCTGGCGCCGTAGGACTGTTTTTTCTTCTTGGCCTATTAGAAAAGGTTGCAACCCTAGTAGTAACCCTCATACCACTCTACTAAGATGTCAAAAGTCACTATGAACGGCTATTTTCATTAAATTTTTTGTTTTATTAGATCACGTGGGGTGCAGATATTGTTTAAAAATCGATACACCAGTATGTTTTATACCTTCAAACATTTTTTTTTAATTTACGATAGTGACCAACGAAAAGTTAAATGTTTTCAGTCAATTGCTTGGATTCACATAAACACGTTGCAAAACATGCATACTATTATAGATAACCAGAACAAATTTGGTAGAAATTCAAGTCATAGTTTTTTTTTAATACATATATAATTAAAATAACCGTAGAAATAAAACTTTTTTAATTAAAATTCTTTGGTAAAACGTGGAAATATTGTGAAACAAAATTAATGTTTCATTATCTTTAGGTATTGTTGATGGCCAAAGAAAATTATTTTTTGTACCTCAGGGACTAAAACCTACATTTTACTACCCCATTTTACACTCTTTTATTGAGACTAAAATAATTTAGTCCCAAGGGATTAAAAAATTTTAGTCCCGCAAATAACAAAACCAATAGAAACCATACCAAACTACTTTATTCGGGAGGCAATATAACAAGACCCCTTTTATAAGCGAATAAATTTATCGATTTTCCCGAAAATAGTTTTGTTTGAAACTTTGCATATATTTTTATTTATTAATAGTTCAATTATTTATCAAAATAATAAATTTCAATTTGACATTTAGTATATACCTACTTGATTTACGTATAATGTTTCTTTTCACATAATTATCGTGTAAATTTCTAAGTTTTAGTCCCTGCCGTACAAAAAATAACGTATGTACCACGATACTAAAGTGCGTCCTACTATCGAAATTGTATAAAACTTCTCCCAGCAAATTTCACAACATACATTTTGTAGACAACAGGCCACAGCAATTCAAATATCCCACATGTGTTCTTTTAATTACAACATCAAAATAGCAACCGGAAGCTGGCCTGTAAAGGCATAGTCCGAAGCTCCAAGTCAACCAGTTTAAGACAAGTGATTTTGGATTGGTATCCAAATACCGTGGCTCCATCTTTTATCTGCATCCATTTGAATCAAATGATAATTCCATGTAGTTATACTACTAGTACTTCTTTATACAATGATTGAATTACCTGTCCAACACTTTGTGATGTAAACATTTACATTTCCTCTATCATTTTTTTTTTAGGTGCGGGGAACCATCGGTTGAACACCCAAGTATGAACCAAATGCGACACCGTCAGCATCTTACAGATTGTTTAAAACATTTGCAATTATTTCTTAGACAGTACGAAAATAACGAAAACAAAGACTTAGTATTAATGGCGGAATATTTGCGAAAATCAATGAAACATTTAGGAAAATTGGTTGGAAGCGTCACTACTGAGGATTTATTGGAAGTCATATTTCGAGATTTTTGTATTGGGAAATAACATAAAATAAAAACATTTTAAAATAGTACATTGAGGGTTGAAACCTTTCATAAACCAGAATATTATTTGATTGTACTTAGAGAAGGACGTAAGTAAAAACACTGTGTGGGAGGTGTGATTGGATAGGAAGATGAATATTAATTTTTGTAATTTTGATATTTGAAAATAAAATTGCAGTCTCAATATGGTGGTTTAAATTTTATTACAACTAAGGGTGTGTACATGCCGAAAGATGCCTGGATGAGTGATAGGTAACTAGATGTCAATTGATGTAACACGAATGTACAGATTTAAATGAGAGTGTGCATACGATAGATTAGCACACCCTCGATATTTACAGGCATCTTGAACGCGATTGGCTCTCAAAATTATTACTGGTGCAATGGTGCCGGTAGCACACGTCATAGAACATAACGTATAGTATGAAACAATAAGTCACTCATTATAAAGGGACATCCCAAATGGAAGAAAAAATCGAATTCTATTTGAAGATGCCCCAAAAAAATCACTATATTATGTCTCAATGCAATTGGAAAAAGGAGTCGCTCATTACGATGTGTTTTGACAAAAGTATGACAGACTTCATCCATTTTTTTATGGTATGACACAAATATAGTATTAAAAATATAACCTAACTCTGTATCGGACTACAGTAGTCGAATGCATTATATTTCTTTACCTCACTGAGATGACGTGTATAAACGAGCTAAACTACATAGGCGGCAATTGACTTTGAAAATGGTCGAGGCAGCGGACCTAAAAAAAAGACAAGGGTTACTCTAAGCTCCTCCCCAAATGTTGCCTTTCTCGCTCACTTTCTTATGCCACTCTTCCTTGATATACATTGGCCATTCAATTTAGTAATTGCGGTTACGCAGCAAAAAGATCAATGCATTTTGTGAAGAAAGCATAAAATTTTACTCAGTTGTTTTTGAAAGAAAGCGTTTGAGTCATGTGGTGAAATTATCGTACATTGTACAGAACAACAAAATTATCGTATAAAACAATCATTATCGTACACCTGGCAAAACTGCTTGAAGCATCCATCACTCATCAAGGAAGATATCTTCTGCATGTACACCAATAATATATCATCACTCATCGGTCATCAAGGTATCCTCGACATGTACACATCCTAACAGTAAATTACTTATTAGTCTTTGATGTATACAGTGTGGACGTACCTATAGGTTTGAATAAATTCAATATTTTTTAATTTAAAAATATGTTCAATTAAGCATCCTCCCACCTTTTTTTGGATATCCAAATACCGAAAAGCAATATTTTGCACAAAACAATTTTCATACCAATTATAATTTTTAGCTATGGCGTTCGGGGGAATATCGGCTAGATTATCTAATTTGCAAAAGACACTTAAAACCTAATTTAAGAGAAGATACTGTCACACGTAGATTCTATTGTTTTACTATATAGCAAATAAGATTTAAAAAATTGCAGAAAAGATAAATTACCACTACAATTGTGAATTTGGAGTAATTATGTGAGCCAATTTCGACCAGTCTGGTTCCTCTCTAAACCCTTAAAGTCCCTCTATGCGGCCTCAATTGAATCGGTCATTTGAGAAACGACCATGTCACATTTTTGGGCATTTTGTTTTTATTACAAAAATACAATATTTAAAGGTAAATTATAATTATTGTATTATGCCCAAAATAGAGCAAGTTTTAAACGTTAAGTGTACAAAACTATTTTTTGTCCATGTTTTGAGATTTTCACTTTTTCTTATTTTTTGAAAAATGATCTCAAACTGACATGTGCTGTTTCTCAAATGACTGATTCAATTTTCCTATTAACAAGAATATTATATTCAATAGAATATACCTCTAAGATGCGCCTATGCTTGATCGTCCCTAGTCGAAGTGAAAAATTCTAGAAAATACTGGACCCGAGACGAAACAATTTAAACATCTATTCTGGTGGATGCACAAGTCTAGAATTTGGTGGATCCGTCGATGTATGTTCTGGCTTATTCTTAGTCTAAGAACGTCTAGATCAATCTAGATAAGCTGAATTGGGGCACAAATTTTAAATAGAGCCGCGCATGACGTCATCGCGTAATATACGGGGACACAATAGCTTTTCATTGTATTTTTCTTTGGAAATTGCTGAAATATTCGTTATGACTCAATGGCGTAGCGACAAAATGTGGGCCCCCCGCAAGAATTGACTATGGCCCCCTATCAAATAAATTTTTTCTGTTAAAAAAAAATTTGCTTAAGTTATAAAGAAATTTAGGTATTTATTATACAACATATTAGGTAAAATATAAAAAACAAATGAAATGAATAAAATTCTTGACAAAAAATAAAATAAAAGGATATTCTTTAAAACTAAAAATAACAAAAATTAAACTTTCTTCAGATAGCTTCAAGTATACGAATAATATAAAATTAAGCACATTTACACAAATAAAATAATATTTAGAAAAGTAAAATTTGCTTTTTTCTAGCTTTTACCTCTGCAAAAGTTTTAATCAAATGTTTATTATCCATTTTAGCAGCCTCTTGTGCCTCTATGGATAGCATAGACAAATTATTTAACCTTGCCTGGGAGGAGGAACTATTACGTAAATAATTTTTAATTTTGAAAAAGATCTTTCTGCTGATGCAACACTGACAGGAAGAGTTAAAATAATTATGCTATAGTTACCTCCGCAAAATTTGAAGCTAAAGTATTATTTTGGACAATTAAAAACAGCAAAATCTTTTATATTTTGTAGTGAAGCAATTTTTCTCTCAATGGTAGACACAAAGCGACTATTTCCAAAGTAAAATCTGTAGAAAGATCGTTGAAATATGTTTGCTGCAAGATTTCTGCCGATTTAAATAATTCTTCTTCAGACAAAGTTATCATAACCTGAGGACATAGAAATCTAAATTTATTTACAAACTGTTCCATTCCTTCAAAACGGTTTCCTATTTGATCAATTACAATATCAAAAGTTTTGTAATATATTTTGCCTTAAAGTAATTTTCTTATTTGAATTATTTAAAAAATTTGGCTCACTGCAGGTCGGAAACAAGGGCCCCTTGGGTCTCCCCCCCCCCCTCCCCCCCGCGGTCCTTCGCGGTAGTAACGCTACGCCACTGTTATGACTGTTTTATATTATATTACTTAAATAGGTAAAATAAAAACAAGTAAATGTACACAATATAATTCATTTATAATAGAAGAAATAAAAGAATCCTACTAATATATAAATGTGAAAGTTTGGATGAATGTTTGTTGTTCAATCACGTCTGAACGGATCTGAATGAAATTTATCACAAAGATAGGTTAAGGTCTGGAATAGCACATATGCTATTTTTTTATCCAGGAAAAATATACGGTTCCCGTGGGATATTTTTGTTTTTCACTGACTTAATTTTTGCATAGTGGTAGTGAAACATGAAAATATGAAATACAGCTACTGAGCATACATAAATAATGTGTTTTTGGATTTTTACATATTAAGGGGAGAAACGGGAGGTGAAAGTTTGTATGAGACTTTTGGAATTTTTAAAGGTAGGAACTTGAAAATTGAAATTGTAGCTACTCATCATAAGTAAATAATAACGTTTTTCTCTTTTATTATTGTTACTGGTACAATCAGACACCAAAACTCAAAACGAAATTAAAACACAATAACCCGAGAAAAACGAAGCAAAATACATGCATTTAGTCATTAACTTCAAATAACATGCCAAAAATTTGTCACGCGTTGACGTCAGCTGAGGAAGAGAGAATATAGCATGCACGTGAGCGTATCTGTTTGTCCTAATATCATGATTTAATGCATCTTCGATCAAATTACAATGCGAAATATACTAGTTTCTGGAGAGTTTGGTGGAATATAAACCCCTACTATTATCAGTTTGACCCCATGATACTATAAAACGAAGGTATATAGTATATTACGCAGATTGATATGATGGCCGCCGGGTAGGGTTGCCACCAATATTTTCAAGCAAAATGTCCTTGCGACTTTTTAAAGCTTAAAATGTCTTTTTTTTACGACATATGCCCTGTTTTACTCTTTTATATCTTTGAAAGGAACTTGGGTTGTACACTAATATACAAGATGAGCTTTTTTTAGAAGCTCGGTAGAAGGACGAGGACATTTTTGTTTTAGAAGTTCAGTAGAAGGATGAGGACCTCTTGTATACCGGATCCCCTATCAGCATCCTTTATTCACTTTTCAAAAAGAAGACAACCCTACCGCCGGGCGACGTATTGTGGTGGAAGGCGTGGCTTTTACGAATTCGATGTATCAGCTGATCGAAAACGGCCAATCCGATAACCATATTCCACACAATAAGTCATGCGCGGACTCGACGATATTTCGTCGTCTAATTATCTCTGTAATTTTTTGTATCATGCAGTTTGGCCCTACCTAAGTAAGTTCGGACAGACAAGTTCCATTCACTCCTGTAACTCCAAACTATCCTTTAGCGTTCAGTTTAGTCCGATCAGTGACATTACAACACGCTTAAATGTCATTTAAAAGCACCGTTCCAGACCCTGGCCAAACCGAACGCTAGTTCTGCATTTGTTCAATGTCTTCATTTATAACAGTTATGTCGATTCATTAATGGTTGGTTTTCCCTTTAAGTATTTTATTGTTAAATCCTAACCATCATTCATTCTTTTATTATCCTGAATTCATCATGCTGAAGTGTTGTTTCATCTGGACCTAATTTCCAATTAACATTTTTGTCTTGCCTTTTTAATCAAAGGATATTGTGCACTTTTTTGGTGTTAGCCTGTACAACTTTAAGTGGTCTTGGTTTGCTATTATTTGCTTTTTCTACTCCGATTACTTTTATATCTGGCTTATATTTGTTTTCAGTTCTTGACAGATCTTCATCACAAGTTTATCGTCCCTAATTTTATTTGTTAGGTCATGAGTTTGATTCTCCAGTATTTGGTAGATATTGGTAGATCTTTGTCTCTTTATTTTACCATAAATATCTCCAATTTCTAAGCTCTTCTTTTAGTTCTTTAAATTCATTATAAAATAAATCAGTGATCTTTTTAAAGTATCACCGCCCTATTTTCTTTTGACAGGCCTGAGCAGACTTCATCTAGATGAATACTTGGGAGCTATCACAGCAATGCTTTTAACCTCCTTTAAAATCGAATTGTTGCACTCGTTTTCTTAGGCATTTCAACCTCAATTTAAAGATTTGTGATTCGTACAAGAAGGCTTTTCACTTCCCTTTACTTTTATTTGTATTCCTTTGCACAATTTAGTAGTATTTTAAATGTTCCAACTATTAGATTTATTGGATTTAGATCTTAATTACAATTTTATAAATGATGATTTGACGTCTGCCGAAATAAATGTCTGACACTAGATCTACTCTTAAAGCTATTAAAAAACAGATTTCGCCTAACACGTGTTAATTAAACGAGATTTGTTCTATTAAAAATACAATATACGAGTTGCATCAACAGAATAAAGTGGAAGTATTTCTTAGGGTCAGAGCAAGTTTGAATGTATACAGACAACGCTTACTCCAAAGAAAATTTAGAATTAAGTTTTTTAACAATTTTGATTATTTGGGACATAAAATAAGAAGTGGATGGACAGAAAATACTCTGTGAACAGAAACATAATAGTAAAAGCACTTGAATTTTGCAGCCAATCCAATATTTCGCACCCCTTGTTCAATAGATATCCCTAAAAAAATTTAAATTGACAGTATAACAGGATTAAATTGACTTTTGTTGCCCAACGTATACATTATGAACATGCCTACAATGTATAAAAGGGCCATATCAATAGTTCTAATAAATTCCGCGCGAGGCGCCATCAACAGTACTGCCATATCACATAACATTTTTTTGTTTTAGGCTATCTGTGTAGATTTCACATGTATCATTAATCAGTAGAGACATCTTTAATCAATATGTATACCGAATTTGGTAAGCACAAGTACTGAAAATGCTGCTCAAAAAAAATATTGCATCCACAATCGTTTTTGTTTCGCATCTCCTGTAAAATTAACATTTATAAGGTTATGGCAAGCTGCTTCAAATTATAAAACTGTCACGGTACATAACCTCTAAAAATATTAAAATGGCAAAGTCCAATTTAAATAAAAATAGGAACTATTAAAAAAGTTCAGGCTTTTTAAATTTTGCACAAATACATATCGGGCGTTTCTGAAATCTTTTGTGTTGCAGGTAATATTAGGAATAAGGAATTTTCAAGAAAACCAAAAAAGCGATCACTTCTATTATTATGGTTTATACTTTTAAACTATTAATCTTCACAAAAATCAGGGACACGTTAGACAATGAAAGTCACAAAACATATTTAATTTATATTTTCAACCAATTCCAAGTAAAAAGTATTGCGAAAAAAACCATGAATAGATCCATTTTGATCAAGTTTTAAAACTTATTCTAAACAATATCAAAACAAGTCTTTAAAAATGCTATGTTTATTCACTTCAAAAAAAAAAAATATTGTCAACAAGAGTCTAGAATCACCTAATTCTCATTTCATAGTAAAAAAAAAAAAACAAAAACTTACTTATAAATATCATACATAAGACCAGTACATAATGGTACAGAAAAAGGTGTTTCTAAAAGAGCTGGTAATCATGATAAAAAAGAAAAATTTACATAAGATTAAAATTAAATTAGTTTTATTGAACGAAAATGTAGCTTTTTGCATTTTAATTTTGCCAACAAATTACAGAGATGTAAAGTACACCACATCAACGTCTTTGCCGGTCGACAGGGCGTCGCGTTAGATAAGCTTTTTTGATAACTGATGGTCCAATACGATAAATATATTCATAAAATATAATGTGGGAGGGCTCAATGGACAAAGGTGACTTCTGGTATCGACCCCACTGTCATTCAACCGGTCTTAGTATTATTTATCCAAGGCAGTATTTGTTTTAACTGCAATCACCACCTGTAATAAAAATAAAATAAATGTAAGGTTATGTAAACAACGTAAAAAAACTATATTGGACAATGAGTGAGAAGCAGTTTAATTTTCTAAAGATTGAGAATGACACAAGTTGAAATTTCATAAAATTATTTGTTTTTCGGAATACTGACAATCATGTGAACAACTTGACATGATAAAAATAACAAATTTTAACCTAGTTTCAAACTACTGTTCAATTACAGTTAAATTGAAAGAGCTGAGAATAAAGAAAAGAAAAATGAATGCATGAACCATAATACAGTAGAACCCCGATTATCTGAGTCACGGTTAACAGAGTTGACCAGATATATTTTTTAGACCCGCCTACAATAATAATGATAGAAAATTAAAAGTTACACATATACCTAAAGACTCTTTTCTTTTGTACTTAAACTCACAAAGTCTACCTGCTCATCTAGATGAAATAAGTAATTTAGTAATTAAAGTTAGACCAATTGTAGTTTGTCTGTCAGAAACACATGTTACACCTGAAATTTATGATACTGAACTGAACATTGATGGTTATCAGTTATTTAGAACGGATGGAGATAGCAGACACACTGGAGGTTATATTATATATGTAATAAAAGGGGTAAAAGTAGCAAAAATTCAAAAACATTGGGTACATAAAAAATTCTGGTTTCTTTCTTTAAGTATTACTATCAACAAACAGACCTTTTTAATAGTTTCTCTATATAGATCCCCAAACAGTGATTATGTTGATTTTTATAATTTTTTTGAAACCTGGTGTGAAAACAATGTATGTGATAAAAAATTTAATGTAATTATAACAGGCGATTTTAACGTAAATTATTTTTCCAACTCATCAAATAGTGTATCCTTAAAAAATTTTATAACTAGTTTAAGCTTAAAAAATATAGTTAGGGAAATAACGCATCCAACAAGTAATGATGGATCTTTATTAGACTGGGTAATAACAAATACAGATATGTTGATTGCTGATGTGATAAAAACACCTAAAATAAGTACACATTTTAATATATGTAAAAGTAAAACAAGTTAAATCTAAAATGATAACACAAACAATTGAAAGTAGGGGCCGAAATATAGACTATTCTGCAATTAATCAGAAATTAGAAGCTGTTACTTGGAATTTTAGGGAAACAGATATAAATAGAAAATATCAATGCTTCTATAAGGAAATTTTTAATATATATAATGAAGTAGCTCCTAAAAAATTAATTACAATTTACCCAAGATATAAAGAGTGGTGGAACAGTAGTGTTTAGCAGGCAGTAGAGGACCGAGATAAAATCTATAAGAACTTTATGAGCAATTGAACAGAGGAGAATAAAAACATTTATAAAGAGAGAAGAAATCTTGCTGTTAGAGTAATACGAAATGAAAAACGGAAATATTATGAGCATAAGATAGATGACTATAAAAATAATACAACGGAATTGTGGAAAACACTAAAAACGTTGGTTCCAAATAATGTGGCCAATACGGATTTTTTAGAAATTGAAAAGAAAACCATAGATAGAGTTGAAGATATACCTGATAATTTGAATTCTTTCTACATTGAGAGTATTGATAAAATTATGGATAAAATTGATAAAAATGGTCCAGACTTCCCCATTAATATTAATCGGGAAAATATCAGTAACTTTTCCAAATTTACTTTAATTGATTTTAGTACGCTTAAAAAAATTATTTTCTCAATGCCCAATAAGAACAGTCCAGATGGTATAGGCATGGCATTTATAAAAAATACCTATGACAATATTGCTAAACCCTTGATAAATGTTATCAATACTTCTTTAGAATCTGGTAAAGTCCCAGATGATATCAAGGTCTCCACCATTGTACCAGTTCCTAAAGTTGCAAAATCTAATAAAGCTTCTGATTTCAGACCAATAAATATGCTTAGCTGCTTTGAAATTTTTTTAGAAAAAGTAGTCTATGAACAAGTTGTTGATTTCATAGAAAGAAACAAATTTTTAACCAAATTTCAATCAGGTTTTCGCAGTAAGCATTCATGCGAAACTGCGGTACAATGTGTGCTGGATGATTTGAAAGGAAATCTTAATCAAAAACATGTTACTGTTGGTGTTTTTTTGGATCTCCAAAGGGCGTTTGAAACGGTAGATAGGAATAGACTCTTAAAGAAATTAGAAAGAGCAGGGTTTAGTGGTACAGTATTGGAGTGGATTTCAAACTATTTAACAAATAGAAGGCAAAAGGTCAAAATTAAAAACTTTGTATCTGAGGAGTTAAAAATAAAACGAGGTGTACCACAAGGAAGTGTCCTAGGTCCCTTGTTTTTTATTTATATCAATGACATTGCAGATATTCAGACTAAATGTTTATTTCACTTATTTGCAGATGACGCGTTCATTTATTATTCTTCTCTAAATATAATAGATATTGTTACAATGATTAATAAGTGCTTAGAAGTTGTTTATAGATGGTGTTGTGCTAATCTATTAAATATTAATTGTAAAAAAACCAAATTCATCATAATTGGCAATGAGCAGCAATATAAACTCTTTGTAGAACAAGATCATAAAATAATGATTGGGCCTTCCGAAATTGATATATAGATCGACAACTTAAATTTAAACAGCATGCAAACCATTTAATAAAAACAATTTCATTTAAAATAAATTAACTTTACAGATGTTCACAGCATTTATCTAAGTGGCCAAGGCTTGTTCTATTTAATAATACTACCTAACTTCACTTACTGCTCAACAGTATTATATCTCTTAAATCAAAATGAGAGAAATCGGTTCCAAAAATTGCAGAATAGAGCTATGCGAATATTATTGTCATGTTCTAGATTGACCCCTATTGTAGAAATGCGGATATCTTTAAACTGGCTCTCAATTAAAGACATGTTCCTTTACCAGACATTAATTTTTATATATAAAATAAAAATAGGTTGCGGGCCTGACTATCTCCAGCATAAAATTACGTATAACCATCATGTTCACACCCATAATACAAGACTTAGAAATGATTTTTATATTAGGACCGTCAACACCAGTCATGCTCAAAATTCAATATTTTTTAAAGGCTTACAGCAATTTAATGACTTGCCAGAAGATTTAAAGAAAATAAAATCAATTAATGAATTCAAATGTAAAATAAAACAATATTTGTTAGATGTAAGTAGCTAATTTAGTTATTGAAGTATTCATTATTAATATTAATATTTTATATGTGTTGTTTAATTGTATTTTATTTTATACGACTACAGTTATATTAATAACCTATTATATTTATACATTTATTTTTAGTGAGAAAGTGTATTATTGACTATGTATTAGTTGTTTTTTGACGAAATAAAGCATATATATATATTCTAAATATCCAAGATGTGGGTGTCATTGATCCATATTAACCGATCTTATAGAATGTCACTTAAAATAATCAGGAATCCCTGACCAGTTCCACGTGTGTGACGAATTATCCGAAAAATCGGGGGATTCTACTGTTATATTCAACAGACTTATACATTATAAAAAATATAAATACAGAAAATATATATAAAAAAATTAAATGTAGCAATCGATAAATTTTCTTCAGATCTTAAAGGTGGACTTTTTTATGACGTTTTTAGTAGCATCTCTATAGATCTTAAGTATAACTGTTTCATGAATACATTTTTATTTCAACAAACACTTTCCTCTCAAACCACTATATGAACAAAAACACAAATTTACTTTTAATGCCCCCAAAATAAAGAGTAGCTAGGAAAAATGTTATTTTATCAAATATAAACTCCCAAAAATGTTATAATAAATTACCAAAGAGAGAGAGGTAAACATTTTGAACAGAGGATTAAAAACACGAAGAATAAAACAAAAAACTCCTGGCAGATGTTTTCGAAACTGACAGGTAAACAAAATGAGAAAGCACAACAACCATTATTTGAGTCATCTACTTGCAATACCAGCTACATCCAAAAAAATTCAAAACTAATTTGTGATGGTATCTATGAAATACGCTTTATTACATGATCTATTCCAATTATATCATAAGCAACTTCATCAGACTGCTATGCTCAAATATGAGGATGCATTGAAAAACTGGCTACATCCAATGTAATATCTTTTTAACCAACAATTAAATGTTCTTAGAATTTGGCTGAAGGGATTTGTGTTGTTCCCAAAGAAATACCACAACCCAATATTTAAATACTAGAACTTAATCTGTTTAACTTTCTTAAAATTTGCTTAAAATTTGTAGTCTTTTTTTTTCTTCCGAAACGTTTGTTCTCAATTTTTCTGGACGTTCAAGTTTTTATAACTTTATTTTATAATAGAAAATATATGTAAGTATTAGAACCACATTTTCTGTATTTTAATTATAAAACTTCTATCTATTCCATCCTGATTATTGGAACAAGATTTTTAAATTGTCCCTAAAATTATGTCTAACAATGTAACCTGTGACCTGAGCATGAACATGTCTTGTTATTCAAAAATGTAAACACTTTTGTTCCATCACTCAAGTTATATAAAACCAGGTTTTTGAAACAGCAAATCTTTCCAATGAGACAGGAATGATTGCCATTAGTAACGATATACAATAATCAACAAGAAAATGCATACATAAAAATGAGATTAGAATAGAAAATTTCAAGATAAACAATTGATTTTAATGAGATTGAACAGGTTTCTAAAACAAAGGATAATTAAGATATAATTTTGCAAGATGAACAATAAACCAAAATATAAATGGCCTTGAAGGTATAGAGGTCATTCTTGCTATAAATAAAATATGACACTACAAAATTATGATTATAAAATATGTATCCAATATTTAGTAAGCATATTATGATTAAAGTCACAAATGCTTGTGGAATAAAGGAATTTATTGTATGTCCCTTTTGACACCCAAATTTAAATGAGGACTTTAAATAGGGTAACACAGGGACAATTCTTTTTAAAACAATTTTGTGTAATATTTATGCATAAATATACTATATATTCTGCCTACACAAAATATTACTAATCTAAACTCATTAAAAATGAACACCACAGACAGGTTTAGTAATAACAAAATATCTATATATTTTTAATTTGCAATATAAATTAAGTTAGATCTTGAAGAATACATTATAGCCAAAATTAATATTTGGACACCAGTATCAAACACAAAAATTAATTAACTTATTTTTCTAGTTGGATGTTAATTAGACTAATGAAACTTATTGTCAAAATGTGTAAAACATAGCCAATAATCAATATTTTATTTTAGAAACATTTTACTTAAGTCATTCCATACAAAATCCTCTGAAAATAAAAAAAATTGTTGCTGATCCATTTTAGATTTTGGTGTAACTATGAGGAACTATTCCTTAGGGTTCCAAAGAAGAAAATGTACAGGAGTTTGATTTTATAAGCACTCCTTTCCACCTATTTAAATAAAGACTTTAAAAAATCGAATTTTTAAGCCTTATCGACTTTTCCTCTGAAATTTTTCTTTTCGAAGATAACTACATTATTAAAGCGGAATTCCGAGGGGGAAAGATAGTAGTTTAAGTGTAAGCATCGATAATTTGCTCGAGATATTTAATCAATTTAGCAAAAACAAGTATAGTAGAATATTTAATCAAGGTCATGTTATATTTGGGACAACTATTTCACTAGAGAAATAGTAGCTGATATTTGGTCTAGGAAGTTAGTCAGGGTATATATCCTGCTCTCTCTCTCTATATATACATTAAGTATTAATAGTAATACTAATCTGTAGTTTTTGAGTACTTTAATTAATTGAAATTTCAAATGTAACTAAGTTCATTAATGTAAAATAATATAAAACTCACTTCTTCTCCACACGATTTGAGTACGGTACATAAAATATCTTTGCCATTTCCATGTTCTAAACGGAGTTGAGAGCCAACTTCACCGTCTGGTACTTTAAGATCTTCACGCAATTCTCCATTATCAGACATAAGCGATAGGTAGTCATCATCAGAGATGTCAGTCAATTGGTAATCTTCACGTTTAACATGGGGAACATCCATGTTATGTGTAGAGGGACAGATATCTTCATATTTTTTACCTGAAACACAAAAATAGACATTGTAGATGTAAACAAATAATAAATTTTAATAATTATCTGTTATATTTCTTATAATAAATAAGCCCCAGATGAAAACGAGTGCAGTAATAGGATTGTTAGGATATATTATCCAAAAGAAATATTCAATATTACCCAACAGAGTAATATCAAACTTTTTGATATATCTTTAACTAATATAACCTACATTTTGGTCAATGAACATTTTACTGCATGTAAACTTCAAAACTAAGCACACCTATGGAATTCTCTGTTGCATCCAAGCCCTTACAGTACCCCTTTTCCATTGTTTACTCATAGCATCTTTATTTTAGTGTATACTTAACATTACTAATATAATTTCTTTATAAACTTTTATTAAAGAAAGAAAAAAAAACTGTTTCCAAATTTTAGTAAGCCTAATTTAATATAATATAAATGCTTGTGGAAATATGGATTACAATGTATGTCTCACTTAACGCCCAAAATCAAATTGATATTGATGTTCAGGTAACACGGAGACAGGATATTATTAACAGATAAAACAGAAAATTTATTTTTATCAGATTAAGCAATAATAAATGAATTTAAAGAAATGTAGTAACCTTGAGAGGTCAACCACATGTTGATAAACTATCAATTTTTTAACAGCTGATTTTTGTATTTTGCAGAAAATGGGAAATTCTTTTTCTTTCTTTCAGAAATTGATACGATATTTACGTATAAACATAGGTTTCATTCATATTTTTAAAAATAATGGTGGTTTTTAAAGCTTAAAGCAATATATTCATTATTTTATGTAACGTTATTTTCCAATTTTAAGTTCCTAGAAAAGGTTTTAAGAGCCAAAAATTTGGTAGGGTGTTTTTTTGTCATATATTTTAGATATTTTTTCATTATTTATGTTTTTTCTTTTCAGAGATTTCCCCATTGAAATAAACACAGTAAACATATCTATAAAAGGAATTTTTTATAGTAGTTTATATTATTGTGACACATTTTTAGAAACACCCAAAATTTGTATTTATTTTGCATAAACTAAAGTGAACATGATAAATATTTTGTGAAAATTAAACGTTTATAAAACATATACTTAATACTTTAATTTTCTGAAAACCTAAAAAACATTTGGAAAGAAACCAGCAATTTTGATTGCCTGAAGAGGACAATGAATTTGATACTTTCTACTTGATGTATTGAAACTTTATTTACTTTAAGCAAATAAGTTAACAATGATTAACAACATTAGTGTTAACTGAAGAAATTCATTTATATGCCTCCCATGTTCACATTAATTTTTTTTGTCTCACACTTCACAGATAGATGTTTGAGTTCTCTTAAATCCTAGATGTTGTCTTTAGAAAAGCTCATGATTCATAAGCTCAAACGTCTTACCGAAATAGAAAAATTTGTAAAATTATTTTCTATGAATGCGTTAAATTTTTGAAGTTGAGTGTCCTAATAATGTGCATGTCCACTCCACCCTGCACTGACATTAAGAATTTGAATTTTACACCTGCCTCGTTGTCATACATCTATTCTTGTTTTGACATTTATTTATTTTTTAGACAAGGAAAATATGTTTCACAAAAAAAAATAAGTCAAAATAATCAAAAATTACAGGATATTTTTATTTATTTCTAAAAATTTTCCTTGTCCTCAAAATGTTTGACAGCATCTCCGTTTACTCAATTTTTTTTCCTAGATTTAATATCACTATATAACCCTGGCAACTATGTAACTATTCTGATTGTTGGAGCAGTGACATGTGCATTAGTAGGACACTGGACTTCAAAATTACAGAATTCGATAAATACTATTCACTGCTTTTATACATTGAATTAAGATTCTGTTTTAATGTATTTTAATAAATAGAATACATAAGTGTAGGACAAAAAATAATGTTAAATTGTTCATTTAAGCAGATAAGTGTGTGTGTGTGTTATTTTTTTGACATTTGATTATATAATAATAATCTTTATTCAGTGTTATATACTTTAGATGTTTACATTGGTCAAAAAAATAAAAAATAAAAAAAGAAAACATACAATGCATTATACACACACATACATATCTGTATCATAGCAATAGTTCACAATTTATAATAAAATATATTAGGTAGTACAGCCTAAGACTAAATTTAATTTATTAGAGCAGTATTAAAATATCTCAGAATGTGTTACATAGTTACCCTAGTCAGCATGCTTAATTGCTTCAAAATAATCCCTTAAATTATACAAGCACATATCAATCATAAGGGTTTTAATTTTTTGTTTATATTTTCTAAGTGTCTGTATCCCTTCTGAAGTAATTTACAGCCAGTATTTTAGATTTATTAATCCTACGAGGTTGGATTAATGCACCTTTCCCTGTATATGGGTGGACTTGAGAAGGAGTATTAAATAAAAATGTGTTGCTCTTTATAAATAATAAGTTATTATATTTTACAGCTGAGAAAATTGTCATGATTTTAAGCTGTTTGAACAGTTAGACACAGTGATTTCTAAAGTCTGCTTTTGCAACAACTACATATTTAAATAAAAAAATATAGGTATATATTTCAAGTGATTTGAAGCTAATACAAATAAAAGTTTTATTAATTAATAATAGTCATCAATTTCAAGCTGTTCACTTTTATGGATAAACTGATACATCCACAAAAATAACAATTTTCAAAGATAGATTGTTTAAAATCGAGTTTAATTTAAAATATATATATATATATATATCTATATGAATTCAAACAATAAGGACAGTTAGAACAAAAAAAATCTTATATTTCAGCCTTAAACATTTTTTGTGATGCAATATTTGTTTCATATAATAGATAACAGATAGACAGGAACAAGATAGAAAAGGAAACACTCACCTGAGAAGATATCAATACCAACCAAGTGAACTTTAGCATGACCATGTTTACCAGTTTTGGATGTGGACATTTCTACAATCTTGCAAGGTCTAGATTTTAACATAACGAAACCGTTCTTACGTAGGGCTGAACATTGCATAGGATAAGTTGCAGAAGCTCCGGAATCCCCAGTATCGAAATGTGTATCTTCGAGATTATCTGCCATTTTTATTGTTTATCAAATGTTTCAACCTTGCAAGCTGCAAAAAAAAATTAATTAATAATGTATCCTTACTTTCGGGGCGTAGACCGAAAGACCGCTGTTAAAACAAGCTAGGCTTCAGTGTCCACGCGGCATTAGAACCATGTGGAAGATAACACTGACCTAGTCAAATCAATACAATAAAAAATTGTAAATTATAAGCAACCCCCTTAACAGATAACTAATAAGGGACTAAACTAGCGTATTAAAAACCGGATAATAATAGAACTTTAAGTAAACTCTTCACAATTTGTTAATAATCTAATGCAACATGGCGCGAATATAGCCAAATCATGCACTGTCAAACAATCCGACCAAATGTATTTTTTATGAAGGTACGCAAAAAGAACACATGTTAACGTTATTATGGTAACCATGTCAATTAGTTTTAACGAAAATATTACAAAAAATAAGATTTTCATTTTTTATTTACTTAAATAGAGAAAAATTCGGTACTCACATGTGATCAAGATGGAAACTAATCCAAAAGAAGTAAAATGAGCATGCGTCCAAACATATAAACGGTTCCGTTTTGGAGAAAATCGACATTAAATTAAAGCGGGAAATTCAAAATTTCTTTTATCAAATTTTAAAACAGGATGTTTAATTCAATGGGTTATTTACCAAAAAATTGCCCTTAAATATAGACAACGATTACTTTTATTTCATAATGAAAAATTGACCATTCCAAATGTTTTATTAATTAGGCATTCCAAACAAAATGGCCATCAGTGGGTTTTGACAGGTTATGATATGGAAAAATTATGGCAACCCTGTACCTGGTGATTTGACAAGATCAATGAAATAGATAATTACATAGACTGATCATCCATATTTTTCAAAATAAACATAAGCCTATGCCTTGAAGTATATATATAGGTAATTATTTTTTTTACTATATTCAAAGGTTAAATATTGGTTTGTAAACACATTTTTGCAAAATCGATTCTGATTAATGAGCATTTGCGAGGCAATATGGCTGCTCGTAAACCACCCGCTTTGAGCAATCTATATAACTATAGATGTAACATTGACCCTGTCAATGACAACATGCTCACACATTGCGTTCGGTTTGCCACGTTCCTTTAACTCCTTTAACACTTTTAACTCCAAACGACTCTTTTAGCGTTCGGTTTAGTCCGATTAGTGACAGTTTAACACGCTTAAATGTCATTTAAAAGCACCCTAAAATTTGTCCCGCTCCAGCCCCTGACTGACCGAACTCGCCTACAGGAGGCGAGCAGGTATCGGTAACTGGTATAGCCCGAGCTGAAACTATATTTTTGTTTCAAGGAACAGATTCTAGATGGCGCTGTACACAACAATTTACAGAAATCTACAATTGATGGTGGAAAGAGTGGGAGTGTCATTTGTCATTGTCAGCAGTGTTGCCAATTTGCGTATAATTATACGATTTTCGTATATTCCATTGATAAGGCAACGTAAGGATACGTCGTATGTATTATTTTTGATATACAAAAGTGGGACCGGTAGGCGTGGCTTTTGCACTCACTAAAATGGCGGAAGAGCAGAACCGGATTTACAAGTTTTTATTGTACCTACTATTTCTGGTTAAGTATCATTATTTGAATTATAAAAAAATTATTTTTCTTTTTATTGACATTGACTGGTGGTGGAAGGCCGAGGTTATAAAAGAAGGGGATTTAAAAGCTTAACTTTGCCCGGTTTTCAGCCGAGAGGTGTTGAATAAAGTAAATGAAAGAAATAAAATATAACTGATTTAGGGCTGATTCCACCGTTGTGTTAAACGGAGATTAAAATGACATTGTTAATGTAAAAATGTCATTTTAAACTTCGTTTAACACAACGGTGGAATCGGTCCTTAATTATCACTCAAGTGGCTATTAAGCGCTGGAGAATATATTATTTGCAAAATCGCAACTAATCAATGATCATGATATAACTAACTTGGGGCCGATTCCACCATTGGGTTTAACGAAGTTTAAAATGAAATTTTTACATAAAATGTAATTTTAATCTTTAATTAATAGTTTAAACTTTAACACAATGGTAAAATTAACCCTAAAGCGTTGAAATCATTCACAGAAAAAATAAATAATATATTTTTGGTTCACATAAGCGACAAAAGTAAACAGAGTTCGATTTATTGGATCAGTCGTCACACGTTTGCACTAGGGCACATAAATAGCTCAATCTTTAGTTTTTCTATGAGCTCAATGCTTTCTGTCTTTAAATCGGAAAGTACAAGGTCGCAAATGTCAAGTAATCTAACCTTACTTTAATTAACAGCTTTCTCGAAATTAAGAACATATGTTCATACACTAGAAGCTCGATATTCAGATACGAAACTTAATGCAAGGCTCGCGGAAAATGGCTAAGCAATCTCTGTGTAGTTAGATGCACTATTCAGGAAATCAAAATGTGGATTAATCTTACTTGGTCTTGGTACTTTTGTAGATTGAGACTGAAACGTGTATATCTTCATGCAAGACATTCACTTAATCAGCGAAGCCACAACAAGCGGTGTGCAGGTGCATTTCTAACAAATGTAAAATATGAAGTGATCTTACTTGAGACCTATAGATCCAATGACGATATTATGGTAGTTGGTTTGAGCTGGGCTTCTCACCATCTGCAGAGATTATGGCTACTTATGTAAAGGCCTACCGTAGTAACACACAACATGCACCACAAGCGTGTATGATTGAAAGTCAGACAAAGAATGTGAAGATAAAGTTGAAGTCTCAACTATAGTTAAAGTCACAGATGAAGTTAAAGTTAACAGCAAACGAGTTGAAATTGTAGGCTGGTGATTAAGGGAGGCCAACATCTAGGTAATAAATGTTTATCGAGTTAGGAAAAGTATCCACTGTAAGTGCTTTTCTTGACCACTAAGGTAAAAACCAGAATATTTCCTATTACACAATTTCTTCGCTAGGCAAAATAAGAAATAAATTTGTGAGAGTACTTCCCAAGTGTTTTTACAAAAGCTCTAAGAACAAAATTGATAAAAATGGCCTAATCCAAGTTCAAATTCTAAAACTTGAACACTAAAGATAAGTATCTTACTGTAAAACAAGTAAAACCCCGTTGTTGAATAAATGGTTGAATAATTCATTACCTACGTGGAGGTAGAATAGGGACTAAAGTTTAGCAGAAAAAGCCACTAGAAAAGGTGAACAAAATAGACTGGGGCATATGAACATCAAGCAAATATTGTAAATGAAAATAATGTGTGCTGTGATTAAATAAAAGTGTACAAGGAATAAAGTTTTAATATTTTCTTATCCATATCTAGGAGTAATATTTATTTTTAATACTAGACAAACGGTTATGGTTTTGTTGCTAGTCTTATTAAAAAAAAACTAAGTGAGTATTGATGTTAAATATTTATTATTATAAGAACTTATATGCACTATACAAACTTAAATATCATATTCCTGAATTCATTTCAAGCATAACATGTCCTATGAACAAATATCCAATTCTGCATGGTTACCAAGCTACAAGAGTTTAAATATCAAAAGATATATTAACATAGTAAACAACGTAAAAATGTTCAGTAAATATAATATTACACAGTAATATTTCTGAAATAAAAATTTTAAATCTTTTAGAGATATTAAATAGTAATATTTCAGAAATGTATTCTAGATTTTTTTTTCTCTAAAATATTATTAGACTAAAAAGACATTTATAAATATACAAAATACACAAAACTCAAATATTGATTCTTAAAACATTATTTCAAAAAATATAAAGGAATCACTTCATTTCCACAAAGTCCTTTAAATGCACTAATCTGAAACAAAGTTTTTTTAATAAATGCCCCAAGTAAAGAAACATTTACGATTGTTACAATCTAATCATTAAGATCAATTAGAAATTTTATTCTAACTTATCAAGGGATGAAAAACTTCACAAACTGATATTCTACTTTCTAGTATACCTTAGAGTTTAAATCAGTTAACTGCACTTTACTCTGCTTTAACATCACTGAACTAACTCAAAAGGCTTGGTTTTCTTGAGTCTTCTTATTAGATTGGCATTGTTGAGGAGTTGGATAATCTCGAGGTTTCCATGTTCGAGCAGTCGTTGTTGGTGACTACTGGCAAATTTTTGTATTCTATTTTCAACAGTCTCCCCTTAAAGGTCCCTAAGAAGATCTGTATTGTGGCAGTACCAGGGTGCATCGACGATGTTCCTTAATACTTTATTCTGGAAACGTTGAATAACTTCGATGTCACTTTACTGACACATCCCCAAAGCTGGCAAATCGCTTTTTTTTCATCAATTCCTTTTAACACACTAATCTGAAAGAAACAGGTAATTAAAAAGGTCTATTAATATTGTTTTAAATTAACCCTAATAAAACAAACAATACTCATGCATACACAAAACATGGAGCTCTACTTTTCAATCAGCTGTAGAAATAATAAATAAAACTGGTGGAAGGACAGCCAATGTAGGTTACATTTAAGTAGAAATAAGAATATAAAAATGCCTATAAATTTGATAAACGAAATGGCGTACGATTAATGTACTTCTAAAGAAAATGCTTGGAACATATACAGCTGAATTCAGGATTTTTTGGAAATCTATAAATATTATTTCGTATGAAAAATTATTCCAATATAGGTAGGCCCAAAAGTTAATAGATGATTTTTTTGCATTTTAAAACGGATACTTTTACACATTTTATACAAACCTGTAATAATACTGTCCTGTATAATATTTATAATTTTGATACTAACCTATGAAACTTTATTCCAGTCGATTTTTCACAAAAACGTCTATCGCTAGAGCAGGAACGTATAACACATCAAGGCATTATATACTTTATAAGTGTCTAACACTCAAAATTTGTTCAAACGCAAATTAAATTCAAATTTAATTACACAAATGACACTAAAGATATAACCTATAAAATTGACAAGTTGCACTCACAGTAATGGCGGACCTGGTCCCACTTTTCGATTACGCATGTCGTATCCCTAGGTTGCCAGATCAATGGTATATTCTGACTTGCCGGCGTATCTTTTTCTAACTCTTTGAAGTTCCGTATAATTTCCGTACATTCTGGGAAAAACTATGGATCTTTCTAGATTTCCATTTATTTTAGAAATAAGTTTGAGAGACTCCTAAGTTTATTTGGACAATTAAGGTGTTTCAGTGTGTCTCTTCTGCTCTACTTTTATTAAACAGTGACTGACTGGCACTTCTTGACTGCTTATTTTAGAGAACGCCACACTCCATGTTATTGACCAATGAAAACAGGCCCGGAGCCGGGGATTCACCGAACTAATTTTGTTCGTATTGTTCAGGCTAGGGGATCTTTAATAGGGAAATGCTTACTCGTGTTGTAGTACTGTGCACCACCCATAGATGGCGCTACTTTACACAAAGTTTGCTCGTTGCATTCGTCGAGCAGATTCAGAGTGTATTCAGAGCAGGTTCAGAGTAACGCAAGTGTACGCAAGTTGTTATTTAAAACTTTCAACAGCTAAAAAAACGCTATTAATGGCAATAATGGTAATGGTTGATTTGTTTTATTAGGTTAGTTTTTCGAAGATAATTT